CATTGTGTGGTAGACAGGACTGAAATCTAAACAAAAGGCAGCCCTGTGTGGTTTGGCTGTTGGTCATAGAGTAATTTTGCAAATCAAGACTGTACTAAAGACACATGAACAGCTTTTCTTCTAAATCAGGAAATGAGAAGAGGGTTTTGGAAAGTGATAGTAGCCTGAGTCATTAGGATCTGATAGGATCCCCTCTGTGAGCTGGAGAGGAAGGGCAGACCCCAGTTGTTAAATTAGGGCTGCACAGGAAGCCTAATGAAGCAGCAAATGGGGGGTAAATACACAGATGTTCCCAAAAGCCTAATATAAAGGGGCTATTTAGCTTAGCAGTACAAATTGTATTTGTCCTGCACCTGTGTGGAGACAGCAGAGTAGGGCATTTTGCAATGACATGGTATATTTCTCAAAATCCTGGAAGGAAAGGTGTTCTAGACTTGCTCCTTACTCGAATTCCTTGTGCATAATTTGACACATCTTGCCTTTGTGGAGTCTGGCACTTTGAAGCTGAAGGAGCTTGCCACCCCTAGCAAAAATGTGTTCATGGACCAGCCACCAGCGTGTGGAGCACAGAACCAGATTCCATTCCGGTGGGCTGCACAGAGGGAACGTAGCATGCTGATCTCCTCACTCACTGCCACGTCAGCAGTCAATACCATGGCTCCGTGCAAGGCTGGCCAGTTCCTCAGCATGAGAGGACCCCTGCAACATTTTGGGGATCTTGCATTCCCCTGCTTTGAGGATGTTCTCCAGTCTGGCCTGTGCTGAGAAGCAGTTTTGCTCTGGATTGTAAGATCCTGTTTTTAAGGCAGTAATTGTATTTGCTTGAATGGGGAATCTAGTGTGTCTGTTAGGAAGGAACTTGTGAGAAAAACTCCCTGAGGGCCTCTCCTGCCACATCTGAGCTAAATGGCTCATTAAATAGCAGTGATTGGTTTCAAATGGTGCAGCTGGAGGGGGGCTCCTGGGAGAGTCACCTGCAGCCTTGCCAAGGGCTCACATCTTCACTGAGGTGTGGGTCAGACCTGGCCTATCTGCAAGTCTGAAGAACTTAGAAGTGTTGGTGATAGTACTCTAAGCCCTGTCCTACCTCTGCAAACTGCCTTCCATCCACCTAGGAACTCACTGGCCACCAGTCTGCAAGAGGAGGCTTCATGGTGAGTGTGTTTGTACCTTCACTGTGTGCAATCCAGCCTTCTTATTGGAAGGGTTAAACGTGCAGGAGGAGGAGGCAATACTTGTCCCAGCATTGGTAAACTCAGAGCAGATTTTCTGTGGGAAGCCATCTGTCAACTGGGGAGTGGTGCTGTGTCAATTGATCAGCTCCACCTCCAGTTCAGCTCTGCAAACTACAGATCCCTGACCTTGTAGGGTGACAGTGGGGGAGTACTGGGATCTTTGGAAGCTTTGAGATCCTGTAATGGAGCCTCTGCTCTTTCGGACTGTGTGAGGGACACCATACAGCATCTTGCTGTCTCTTGCATCAGGTAGTGATGGAAAGTCTGAGCTTGCAGGTGAAAGGGCTGTAGGAGGAAGACAGGCTTTTTCCTGTAGCCAGGGGATTGTATTTCACCTGGGTGATGTGCAATGCAAGGGACTTCTGATTTAAACTCAACCTATCCCTGTCCCAAACTTAAAACTGTCTCCCAATGGCAATGCTGAGCCATATTTTGGCTGTTTCAAGGTAAAATAGGAAGGTGGAAAATGTGAAATTTCTTCAGGAAAAAATCAGAGCTTATGATATTCTATAAAAACTCATAATGTCTGGAAGGGTAAAATACTCCTTTTTGGTTCTAGTCGTAATAAAGCAATAATGATTCTATAGGGTATATGTGTGTAAAAATGGTAAAGCTACCTTAGATCTGTCTCCTGATTAAAAACCTTCACTGTAGCAATACAGTGAGGTCAAATTCATACACTGTTCTGTATCGGTTCAGCTCCTTCTTTTTTCTTGACTTTTCATCAGGCATGCCCAAAAACAAGGTAGGGAAGAAAATTGAGGCTTTTGGACATTTTTCTTAGTTTGATTTTTGTCCCCCTCAAAAGGTAGTGGCTGAGATTTCTGTCCAACTCTATCAGCAATTCTCCTGATTTATTATAAGAGGGACACTTTCTTCTCTACTGTTGTCTGTCCTTCCTTCTTCACCCCTCTCTGAGTGCTGAGTTGGTCAGGGAATGAAGAACATTTGGCTAGCCCAACTATTGGGGTGATTAAGTGCCAAGAGCCATCTTGGCAAAACAAAATCTGGACTGGCTTGCACCTCCTTTATGCTCTCATTTTGAATATAAGTTGCCTCTTCTTTCTGCTTCTGTAATAGAAATGCCAACAGTTGCTCAAGAGCAATTATTGCGTGTGCAGCCAAGTGGCTTGTGCTTGATGTAAAGTGGGGTGCTTCCATTTCTCAGTGGAGGGGAATTGTTTCCCTGGGTTGTGATAAAGCTGTCTATTTGGTGTATTGATTTTTGATGTTCATACACTCTTGATAGTGAGGAGCTCTGAATTTTGTCCCTGAGTCTTTTTGGGCTGAATTCCCTCCAACAGTTAGGCAGTGCACTTGTGTGGAACGAACTGTCAGCAGGCATTTTAGCTTGACCCTGTTTAAATCACTGGGAGGGCATTACCTCCTGCACCTTGCTATCCTGCCTACTAACTCCTGAGAGTGTGTGTGTGTAGCCTTGAAATAGCAGTGGATTTACCACCTAGTGTCTCCTATTTATCACTGAGGAAGCAACCAGACAAGACTTCCAGATGCTGTGTGTCAAATGTTGCGGTAATTCAATAACCAGGCCCTTCAGATCTTGGACTCTCTGCTAGAAATGGTGAAAAATTGCAGTCAGTTCAGAGGCTCTTATGCATAAGTGTAGAAAGGTTCTTGTTGAACTTAATATAAAAGTAAATATTAGTCATCGGTGTAGCTGTCTTGTCTTTTCATGTGGCAGTGAGGCTGTCTTCGCACTCTAGCATTCAGTTGAGAAAGCTACAAGTGCCTTTCAAAGCCACCGTGCAATGAAGGGTGTTGGAGATGCTTGTTCAGGATTTTTTCAAAATCTGGCACATGCTGTGACAATAGTTTGATTTTTTTTTCCTCTCTCTTTTCTAATTTTCTGCATAAGCTTCCAAGACATAAAGTATCTTTTTATTAGATGAGTAGGTTCTTTTTCTGAGCACAGTTCAGAGAGAAGGGGGTGAATTCCAGTGATAAAAAATATGAGATGTTTTCCATATACTGAGCGGCTCCAGTTGCTGCTCCTGGTTTTTTTTTGTTTTTTTTTTGTTTTGTTTTGTTTTTGTTTTTTTTTTTTTAAATATTTTTTTTAACTTCTCTTCAGTTTGTTGCTGTTGTCTTTTCCTTTTTCTTTTTGCATACATTTATTTTTCCACTAAGCAAAGAACAGCCCTAAGAGAACTTTCACATGTGGGTGGCGAGTTGTATGGAGGAAGCAAACAGTTTAATCACCAAACCTCGTAAGAGAGGTGTTTTGTATAGGATGTGACCCATGGGGAGCTCAGGAAAGAGAAACAAGCAGCTTAAGGCTGGGTATGGGATCAGGACTTTATTAATTTATTTTATTTTTTTTTTCTGGAGTTGCTGAGCTATAGTATATTTTGTCAATATAGGAAATAATTATAGATAATCAAAACCATGGCTAAAGAATGAATGGATGATTGATTAACTGCATCCCTGCCGAGAAACAGCTTTGCCTGCCAGGCTGTAGGAGACTCAGTTTGGTAGAGAGCTGTTCTAAATGTGACTGTCTTGAGGTAATGTCTTAAGGCACAATCAGTTTTCCAGGTCTCAAACTCCTGAGTGAATCTTTCTATATCTCTGGTCCAGTTTTCCATACTTATTAAAAGAAGGTTGGGCTGTTCTCATTCCTTAAAGCAGTGTTTGGGTTTGGAGAACTTTGTTATTATGATGGGAATCTCTACACAGAGAAATATAATTTAATGATGGTGGTTTTTTTTTTTATTTTTTCTTTTATGATCTAATCCTACTCTATAGAAGTCAGGAGGAATTTGCAATTGCTTTTAAAAGATAGAAGATATATCCCTAAGAGAGCATTTTGGCAACTACTTTTTTCTATTCCTTTCCTTCATGAATTGGGCAAAAGCAGGGATTTGCATTTTTCTGGATGTCATAAATTGAAAGCCTGATATCTGATGAAATCCCAGGACAGAAGAGATTTACACTATGCCATTGGAGAGCTGAGATCTGTATAAAACTCCTTGGAGTCTTCAAGGTTGTAAAGTGCTACAAGTTCTAATTTTTGCAAAAATGGTAGAAGGATATGAGAGCAATACCAAGAGATATACTGAGCTGATATTTCTCTAAAACATGGTGTCAGCAAAGCTCATCATAGTTTAGAAGTCTCTGTTTTATTTTAATGTATTTTATGTTATTCTGAGACTGAGTCTTCACAGTTGTACCGAGAAGAACTCTACAGAACTCTGTGCTGCTGCTTGCTTTGAGAGGAACTAATAGTAGAGATTGTAAGAGCTATTTGTATCCAGTGATTTTGTCTACTCTATTTGTACTTTAGTCTGGATACTCAAACCAGAGTGACTGTCCCAAAAATCCATATCAAAATTGCCATGATCCTGTTTATGCTGCATATAAGGTTATGATAATCCTGTGATTAAAGCTCTTAATTTCATGAAATATTTTGTACATATTCTGTTTTTCTGTCCTCACTTGTGTACCACTTGTTCTCTGTCTGTTAGAATCAGGCCTAACAGTTGAAACCTTTGAGTAATTTTGGCAACCTGCCTTTAAAAATAAAGTAAGGACAGCTGGTCATAAAAAGGATTTTACTTCCTTCTCACTTGCTTCACTTAAATTTTAAAAAGTTAAAAATCTTTAAGCTCTGGCCAAGATATGAAATAAGATTCTGACTGTGTGCCTACCCCTTTATGCTCAATGGATTGGCTGGGAATGCTGTTTATTTCCTTTGACATATTCTTGTTTTCTTTTTCTCTCTCTTCCTCTGATTTCCTTTTCTAGGATGAGTCATCCATGTTCTTCCAGTTCGGCCCATCAATAGAACAGCAAGCTTCTGTCATGCTCAACATCATGGAAGAATACGACTGGTACATCTTCTCCATTGTCACTACGTACTTCCCTGGTTACCAGGACTTTGTGAACAAGATCCGCAGTACCATTGAGCACAGCTTTGTGGGCTGGGAACTGGAGGAGGTCCTTCTGTTGGACATGTCCCTGGACGATGGGGACTCAAAGATCCAGAACCAGCTCAAGAAGCTCCAAAGCCCTGTTATCCTCCTCTACTGCACAAAGGAAGAGGCCACCTACATTTTTGAGGTGGCCAACTCAGTGGGTCTGACAGGCTATGGTTACACGTGGATCGTGCCCAGCCTGGTGGCAGGGGATACAGACACAGTGCCATCCGAGTTCCCCACCGGGCTCATCTCTGTCTCATATGATGAATGGGACTACGGTCTTCCTGCCAGAGTAAGGGATGGAATAGCCATAATCACCACGGCTGCTTCTGATATGCTGTCTGAACACAGCTTCATCCCTGAGCCCAAGAGCAGCTGTTACAACACCCAGGAGAAAAGGATTTACCAGTCCAACATGCTCAACAGGTAAGGGGAACAGCCAGGCCAGCCATACAGAAGGGTGGTCAAAGAAGACCTCTGTCACCAGAATGTTTCTGCTAGGCATGTGGTGCTCTGGGGCAGCAGGTGATGTTGGCCAGAACTGGGCAAGGGCAGGTGAGCTGAGGGTGGGACCCATGTTGCTGTGCATCATGAGTGCCAGTGTTGTCACCCCCTTAGAAAGCCTTCATACAACACAGAGGGCAAGTCAGCATGAGGAAAAGGAATAACAAAGGCATAGTGCAACAATTTGATAATGCCCCTCAATGCACAAATCTTCGCTTTTGTAAGTGAACTTCTTCAGCACAGAACTTCGCCAGCGCTGAACTTCTTGGAGTGTCTTTGCATGACTGGGTCCGTCGCTCCCAGGTGGGTTCTTGCTGCAAGCAATGGGAATGTTTCTGTTGAAGTCTAGAAGGCACCAGCTTCTGTTCCAGGCACTAGCATTATGTGAACAGGTGTCCCTTATAGGGGCGGTTGTGTAACCTACCAGGAATAGTTTCATGGCAACTGTTGTCTGAACACCAAGTGTCCTTCTGCTGTTCATTAGCCTTGAATTGCAGGATAGAAGGAAATGCAAAGAGATGTGGAGAACTAGCGCTGCAAAAGGAGTTAGAGCCATCAGCTCTGCTCAGGTCCTGCTTTGTACTCAAAGCCTTTAAAGACCTTGGATGTCTTAAGAATCTGGTTTACCTCAGAGGAGGGCTTGTGCTGTCACCCTGCTCTTTGGCACTCCACTGGCTGTTTGCTGGGTGTTTTGGGTACCATTCTTTCTTGTGCACCTTATGCAGAAAGCCTAGTACCTCGATTAGAGCAGCATGTTTTTCCAAATGGAAAAGGATATTTAAACACAGGGAAAACCTGTTTGAATAAACATCTTCTCTATCCAAATTCAAATTTTCCTAAGAAACAGAGCTAACGCATCTCTTTAAGGGCATAGAAGAAGATTGTGGTGGCACAACCTCTCGAGCAGCACTCTGATTACTAAATGTTCCTTTTTGTCCCAGATGGAGTTTTAGCATGTAGCAAAGCAACCCAGATAATTAGACATGGAATCCAGATGCCCCCTGATCTGCTCAGCTGTCATTGTTCAATGTTTTACATACAAAATCCTTGGAGATGTTAGATCCTTTGTGGTTAGAAAAGGAGAATCCAGGCAGTAGCCATCAGGCCACACAGAGCTCAGTGTCTTTGTTAATTTGTCATGTTGAATCACTGAGTGTGCAAATATGATGGATTGGTCCACATGCTGTGACCCCTCACTGTCAACTTTACTAGGCAGATAGAGGGACAAAGGGACAAGGAAGCAGATTTTTGCTTTGCCTGAATGTTGGGGACTGTGAGAGAACTTTATTCTTTGGCCCAATATGTTAACCATATTGCTATTTGTCCTTTGTCTTTATGGTCCATTGGCATATTGCCAGGTCTTATTGCATTTACTTCATCCTCTCCATGGTGTTTTTTTCTCTATGCAGGCCTTGAAACTACTTAAGGTGCCTAAAGCTTTTATCTCTTTCCTTCCCAGCTAGGCTTAGGAGTAAGGGTTTTTTCTGCTGCTCTTTTGAGTCATCACTGAAATGATTAAGCTGGGAAAATATATATAGTGTATACAAAGTAATGAGAAGTAACATCGAGGCAGGCTTTTGTTCTACCTTTCCAAACGAAGAGGGATTCTGGGGGAAGCTCTATTGTGTCTTTTTAGCAGTTATCTAGAAAACAAAACGTTCCCTGCTATGTGATGCAGCATTCTGCAGAGACCTTCTCTAATGAGTTCTGTTGACACTGTTAGCCTATGCATAACATCACACCCATGTAGCTATGCTGCTTCCAGGACCCAACAGAATCTCTCTGCATAGCACCTCGTTGCATTGTTTAGAAGTCACCAGCTCAGAGACTCTTGAGTGTAGATATGCTAGCACTGTTGTGCTGTGTAGATATGCCCAGAAGCCTCGGCGCCCCACTTGAAAGCAGCTCCTGTCACTTGTGAAGATCATAGCTTTCTTTTCACCTTCATGGCCCAAATCATGCTGTTTCTGCTCCCTTGTCTGCTTTGGGTACAGCATTCACAGGAATGAGCGCCAATAGGTGTAGATACACCCAGCTCAGTTTGGGTACTGACATCAGTCTCACTGAGAAGAACAGGCTCTGTTCTGCCACTGTGTAGATGGCTGCAGGCACCTGAGCTACCTGAGGAATAATTATACTTTTGTAGTTACTTGTGAGCACAGTGCAAATATTTGCTTTGCCTCGCATGGTGCTGGCCTGTGAGGGGGTTCTGACCTTGCATCCTTTCCCCCCACTCCCACCCATGTTTCCATACTCTCTGTATTTCCAAGTGAGATGGATAAAAAGTTTGACTTCAGTGAGTTGGATGCTTAGTTTTTTATTTAAGTCAAATTACTTTCAGGACCTTTTGAAGTTTAAAAGCTAGTGATGTCTGAAATAAGCCATTGCTTTTACAAATCCAAGGGTTTGATAGAAATTGGATGGCTTCAAGCTCAGCCTCATGCCTGAAGTCTATGGAGATGAAGAGGCAGAGGAGAAGCACAAGGAAGCAATCATGAAGATGTGAGTTTGTCTCACTGAGCCAAAACCCACAGAGATTAATAGCTGTAATCTGTGTTCATACCTTCAAGTTCCATTGAATTTACTGGAATTTACTATGTGCTAAGATTTAAAACTCTCATTATATTCTTTGTCTGTGTGGAATATTACAGATTCTGCAGACCTGGCTACTTCATACTTTCCCTAACCCCTTCCACCTATTAGGATCCCACAGTACTTGTGCACACCAGGTAGCAGCAATACCTGCATGTCTGGAACCTGGTTTGGCTCTTTTTGGACTGGACTGCAGGTTCTGGAAAGCTAATTTTAGCCTTGCTCTCGACCCAGCAATACTGTATTCAGCCATCTGTGACTTAAAGTTCCCCTTCCACCTGCCTACACAGAGTAGAGAAATGCATGTATGTGGGCTTGATGTCTTGGGAGACAAAGTATACGTGTGTGTGACCTCGGATAAAGCATCACCCTGTAGCTACTCTTCAGAAACTCTTGAAGCTAATCCAAAGGGGTCCAATTTACTTCAAATCCATAGCTGGGGAGGCAAAGCAATAAAGGAATTTTCCCATTTTATTCTTTGGAGAGTGGCACTTCAAACTAAAAAAATGTGTAATTTAGTTCAGCTGGGGGCATGCTATACACTGACTGTGAATTAGTAATTTCCCAAGATCTTCCTTTGAACTCTGACCATTTCTTACTTTGTTCCCTTGTCTTTCTAAAAGAGCAGTTGTTCTGAATGCAGCTAAATTCAAATGGTCTTGATCAACATGGTGTCAGTGGTTGATCTGGGTATATAATAGAGCAAGGAGAAAATGAACTGAATGTTTTTTAGATTCTCCATATCTTTCCTCCTTTTTACCCTGACACTTGTTCATTTTTGCAAGAATTTGTGCAAACAAAGTTTTATTTGAAGTATGGCTGTAAGCACAAAAAGAAACAAGACAGACTGTTATCTAAATGCCATTTCTTGACAATGTAGGTGTTTGGTCTGCATCTTCTTGTATCACTAATGGTCTCATAGCAACTGTTTCTGTTTTGAAACTGGTTCTCTTTTGTGTTAGACTGGAACTGCAGAAGTATGATCACGACCATTGAACAGTTTGGATTTTGTCCAGTAAGTGAACCTGCTGGTGAGATAACTCCACTAAAGAGTAGTGAAATGATACTTTGAGAGGGTTTTGTTCTACAAGGTTTGTTAGTTATCTTTTTGAATGATTTTTGAGGAATTTTTCCTCTAGTGAGGGATTTATCTCAATTTATGCTGATAATAGGCTTAGGAGGTAATTTGGAGTCCAAATATCCAAATGCTGTTTCCCAGTTCAATTACAGTCTTTAATTCTTTGTTCTGTTTGTAATAATTACCTATTCATTTATTCCTTCATTGTCCCAGAAAAAAATCTGATCTGAATATTTCAGTCTACCAAGTTTATAGTTATCCCAATATCTGGTCTTCTGGGCACCCAGCAACACCACTGTGTGCTCTGCTCTTTTCTACTGGATGAGAAGATCTCAAAGGTTGGGTAGGAGATGCTCACATGAGGAGTTCTTACCTCTTGGCCCTTCCTAGGAGAGTTGCTAGGCTTCCAGGCATCCTGCAAAGCTCATCTTTTTTCCCTTCACCATGGCTGCTGAGGAGTGAGTGGGCAGAGGTGGATGTGTTTATAGGCAGCCTTCTGCTTATTTCGTTATTTTAATTGATGGGACAGATTTCCTTGAGCTCTGGATTGGTGCTTCTCATTACATTTTAGAAATGGGAAGAAATAACTAAATGACAGGAGTATTCTTAGGAGTGGAATTCAGAGATGAGTCATGAGAAAAGAATATAATTTCTGGCTCATATTTGAGGAATGGAAGCTCAGCTGTTTTGTATGGATATTCACAGTCTTTGGGCTACATAAGCTGTGGTTTTATTGTAGCCTTCAATGAGACCTGGATTCTTTCTCCTTGTTGTCATGGCTGCTTGTGAATGCTGGGCCATAACTACTAGTTTGTTGTTGTAGGGCTTCTAATGAGTTCTCCAGTGATTGGCTTTAATAGTCTCTCATTTAACACCAGGCTGCACACAGCGGATTTCATTTTAATAAAAAGTGCAGTGGAGCATTTGCTTTGGAATTAAAATACAAATGTGGAATTATACCACCTTTGCAAAGAAATACTTTTAGAGGGAAACAAAGTTAGGTTCAATTCTGTACCTCAGATTCTTCAAATAGGAAAACAGCTGGCCAGCTTGCTCAGTGCATTGTTTGGACATGACACTTCCACTCTGGGGGAACTAACATTCCTCTGTAGTTTTACCTTGCCACACAGATAAGAAATGCAGAAGAACCTTTGATGAGTGCTGGGCAACTGGCTTTTTCCTGGAACAACCAGGGCAAGCTCTGTTCTCACATGACTACATTTCCCTAATAGAAACTAGGAGTTGCTGGGGC